AGGCTCAGGCCCTTTCACAGATCCAGAGAGACCACGTCCGGCTTTTGAACCCCCTCACCAGAATAAAACCAAAAACCGGCGACCCCACTCCAGCAGCAGCCGCTAATCGGCGAGGACACGTTCCCCGCGGTCTAAACTTTGTTAAAACTGTACGAACAGTTTTAACAGGACGAACGCTGTCTCCGTTAACAAAACAAAAAAATGATCTTTTACCCAATCCCTGCTCTTCTATGATTCAATTTCCCGCTCCGAGCTTATGTCTATGCTGCAGTTTTCCTTGCAAAACGACCGTTTTCCCAGAAAAACAATACTTACATCCACACTGCTATTGCGGGATTTCGAAAGAAAGTCGAAAGAATGGAGGGGGGTTTTCTGAGGGCAGTAAACCTCATTCTACGAGGAAGATGCCTTTTTCCGAAAAAGGCACGTGTGGACGGGAAGGAGAGTGGTTTTTTTGAAAGAAGAGGCCTCCAGGAAAAAACACAGGTGCTCTGGTGGCCACTTTCTGACCACAGTAATCAGAGCTGAAATGTGAGAGAGCGTCCAATCAATGCAGACGCTCTCTTTCGAGACAGCAGATTGCTTTTTCATCGCGCTTTGGCCGTGTGGACGCTCTTTGGAAAGAAGTTTTCCCGGCCGATCTCTTCCGGAAAAGCTTCTTCCGAAAGAAGCCTGCAGAACAGACGTAGCCGGAGCTCATGCTCACAGGTTCGCCCCCGAGGGAGTCGTATCAAACCACGTGGCGAAACGTATCAAATGCCACAAACTGAGCCGGGGTCTAAATTCGAGGCCCCCTTCGAGTTGGAGGCCCAGGCTAACGGGGCCTCCTGGCCCGTCCTCTGATACGTCAGTTTCACCACCCCCATTGGGCAGCTGAGGAAAGGATGCGCAGAGAGATAAGGCAGCTGCCCGGGGCAGGAACCGGGTCTCCAGACGGAGTTCTGAGTGAGCTGTAACTAGCGAGGAAATCCCCATGCGGTGAGCCAGGATCCACCCATGGCTGTAAAGCTGTGGGGACGCTGCCAGAGGTGCCCCCCAAAATAAAGCATCGCTCGGAGGGTTCAGGGGTCCCCCGCTCCCTCGGAAGGCAACTCACATCCCTGGTTCCACATTCCGGAG